GTGATGTGCAGCTAGCTAACTGAAAAGAGCATGGCTACTGAAGGCATTCAAATTCAGGTATTTTGTTTTTCAAAAACACCATTGGACTATTAAAATATATTGCTGTTTACGGGTCCCATTGTTTCTCAGCCTAAATATTACAGAATTCTCCTTTTTTAAGAATTTGTATTAGGTAGTCAGTCACAAGTTTGGCTTGGCTGTTTTTTGTTTGTTTGTTTTGTACTAGGGATTGAACCCAGGGATGCTTAACCACTGTGCCACATCTCTGGTCCTTTTTTAAAAAAAAATATTTATTTATTTTTTGAAACAAGGTCTTACTAAGTTACTGAGTAGCTTACTAAGTTGCTGAGGCTGGCTTTGAACTTGTGGTCCTCTAGCCTTAGCCTCTTGAGCCAATGGAATTACAGATGTGCACCACTGTACCCAGTTTGACTGTTTTTTAAAATGTACATTTGGTTAAGTTACCTACCAAATTTTTCATATGGAAAAAAACCAAGGAACTGATATTGTCAGGTTAATTCAGTATTTGTATAAACCTTGAAAAAATGCTTTCAATTTCTGAGCATTTTTTAAAAAAATTTATGACTCTTTACACAGGTCTCTTTGAACTAAAATTTGTGCACATCTGCTCAATTTGAAATTGAACAAGTGTAATTTGAGAACATTCTTATGTCTTAGTTAAATGTCTAAATGCTAGACAAGACGCAGGTGCATCTTTACTATGAATGTCCTCATCAAACTTTTATAGTTGTGATACTTTTACATTTAGCATAAGCTTTAAATAGTTCTTCCTTCAAATTTATAAGAATAGATGCAGCTTTTGGATTACATTTTATTCATCTCTGAAATAAAAAATTGTTGCCTTAAGGTATTAGATACACTTAGATAAAGGAATATTGAAAAGCAAACTAAATTTTATTTGCAATTATCTATGTGAATTAAGGGTTGTTGATTTTTTTTTCCTTTTAATACAACCAAAACATACAATTTAGATATGGCTGATATAAGCTACAGTTGTCATTCATTTATCTTTAGTGAGGATTCTTTTGATTGCAGATAACAAAGACTCAACTCAAAGTAGCTTTAAAAATGGGAATGTGTTGGCTACTGTAAACAAATCACAGAAGAGCTTGCTTTTAGGAACTACCCTATCCCAGGACACTGCCCAGATCTCTCTCTAGTCCCCCTTGCCATCTTTACTCTCAGATTTCTCATCACAGCTTTTCTTTATGAGTTGTTTTAATTCCCTCCTAGACAAATATGAATAAATATCTACAAGGTGAGAATAATCATGTGGTGTGAAAGATAGGCCATTTTGGACTTGTTGCGGCTTCTATCCCAGGATGCTCTAATTTAGATCAAGTGCCTCCTGTGCCCAGTAACTGCAGGCAGAGAGCAGAGACATTAAGTTCTGCCTTGCATTACCAGCTTGTCTTAGGAGCTTGCCCCTATGCTCAGGGAAGCACAATCTGTTCTGGGAAGAAGGAAGCATGCAAAGTCATGTATTATGCCATGGGATTCTACATCAGATGCTGTACTATAAAGTTTTTTGTTTTTTTTTTTTTTTTAAAGAGAGAGAGAGAATTTTTTAATATTACTTTTTAGTTACTGGCGGACGCAACATCTTTGTATCTGGTGCTGAGGATCGAACCCGGGCCGCACGTATGCCAGGCGAGCACGCTACCGCTTGAGCCACATCCCCAGCCCCATAAAGTTGTGAAAATACTACATTAGACAGAATTTTGTGAGATCAGTTACTTATGTGTCTTTTCTAAAATTTTGCTAATTATAACATCATTAGGCTTAAAATTTCAGTTATGAGGTTCTGTGTGGGTGCATTCTTCTTCAATCCTGTGAATGTTGATCCATGTGTTATTTGTAGAACAAATATTTATTGGGCAGTACTAATATGTCAGACTCCATAATTAGCACAGAAGATGTAGTGATGAACAGATAGGCATGATCTCTCTTCCATGTAGATCCCAAGGAAAGACAGACAAATATTATAAGCATGAGGTAACATGTTATGAAGCAGAAAGAGAAATACCTTCAGGAAAAACAATAGCTAAGAAAAAGAAGAGAGATATCCAGAGTAGATAAGGATCAAGTGAAGTTCTTCAAGATGAGTAAGAGTGAGCCAGAAAGGGAGGGCTGAGGGTAATCAAGGCAGAGGAAAGTTTGTGTGAAAGCTCAGGGAGTATTGGTGGAGCTGAAAGATATGTGTTGTACAGAAAGTGTAATGAGGAAAAGAATTAGAGAGTAATAAGTGAGGAAGCAAAAGACATAAAGCAAGTCAAATCATATAGTCCATGATAAAGAATTTTTTAAAAACATCCTAAATGTGATAGGTATAAGTAGTTTCAAAACATCCTCCTGATTTTAGTGTGCAAGTGGTTTAGTGAGAAGGGACACAGGAGATTGTTATAGTGGTATAAATGAGAAGTAAGAAAAGGACTTTGAGGACTGCGGGGTTAGCTCAGTAGTAGAGTACAGGCTTTGGAAAGTATGAAGTCCTATGTTTGATTTCTAGGCACTGCAAAAACAAACAAAAAACTTTTTTTTTTTTTAAATTTCCAGTTTCTTATCACTTGGACCCATAGAGCTAGCACAAGACCTAGGCATAGTTGGTACTCAGTATTGAGGTCACAAGAACTGTGTGTGTGTGTGTGTGTGTGTGTGTGTGTGTGTGTGTGTGTTTCACCTTAAAATGCATGTCACTCTTTTAAAAACTCATAATGCTTGTTTTATCATTTGCTGTATGTTAAAAAAAAAAAAAGACTTCAGTGGTTTCCTGCAAACACTTTATTGCTACCCACTACCAGCATTTCTAAGCCAAAACCTTTACGTCAGAAGTTAAATGTTTCTATTTTTTTTAAAAAAAAAAGTTTGTAAAAAGCATGTCTTAAGGTATGAATTTTATTCCAACTTAACACCAGCAGTTTCTGGTCATATTACATAACAACATGGATATTGTATTAAAGATATCTGTGCTGCTTGTATTTCAAGTGCCATCTAGTGGTATGATCACTTCAAAAGGTGAATATTTGCTATTTGGGGACAGAATTTTTTTAAAAAATCAATTTTATAAAAAAAGGTTAATGGAATAGCCAAACATAAGATACCAATGGAATTTAATATAAAACTTTTGTTGAGTATTCTTATATGTAACACACTCATATTTAACACCAAAATACCTTCAGGAAAAAAAATAGCTAAGCAAGAATATATCAAAAATTTAAAGCCTTCATTTATCAAAAGTCACCAATCAAGAAAGTGAAAAGACAGCTTACAGAATGGGAGAAAATATTTGAAAATTACATATCTTGCAAGAGTCTAGTATCCAAAATATGTAAAGAATGCTTAAAATTCAACATCAAAAAGACAACCCAATTAAAAAAATGAGTCAAGGACTTGAATAGACATTTCTCCAAAAGACATATAAATGGCCAATAAGCATATCATCGGTCATTAGAGAAATACAAACCAAAGCCACAGTGAGATACCATTTCCCAACCACTAGAATGGTTTTCATAATTTTAAAAAACAAAATACCAAAACCAGAAAATAACAACTGTTGGCAAGAATTTGGAGAAATGGGAATCCTCATGGACTGGTGGGCAGGTGTAGCCACTGTGAAAAATTGTTTTAACAGTTTCTCAAACATACAAATAGAGGATTACCCTGTAACTCAGCAATTCCATTCCTAGGTATATTCCCGGGAGAAATGGTGTCAAGAGTTAAATGGAGAGACGAAATCTCCAAAACAAAAAAAAGGTTTTATTTAGGAGTAATAAAAAAAAATAGGATTGCAGTCCAGGATACCTGTACACAGGCTAGGATGGCCTTTGATATGTCCAGAAAACAAAGGAAAGGTTAATGGTTTCATTGGGACAGAGGAAATCTATGAAAATGCAGACTTAATGGAGGCGGTTTCACTGGATTAGCCTGCCAGGAAAGTTCCTGGAACAGTCATTAGAAACCTGAGTGTTTCCCATGACCTCTGGACTCTGTTTTAGATATGAATGACAAGAACATTTTCATTTGTGTGCTCAATCTCCATACAGGTGTTCAAACAAAAAATTGTACATGAATGTTCATAGCACATTATTCATAATAGTGGAAAGGGAATGAATTTTTATCAACTAATGAAATGGATAAACAAAAGAGTACATCCATATGGTGGAGTATTATTTAGCTCTAAAAAGGAATGAAATACTGTTACATTGATGGACCTTGAAACATTATGCAAAGTAACAGGAGCCAGGCCAAATATTATATGATTTCATTTATGTGAACTGTCCAAAATAGTCATAGAGATAGAAAGCAAAATAGAATCTGAGTCATTTTTAAAAAATACTTTTATTGTTTTTTCTCTGACCTTCCTTTGGTAAGTATATGCTAATTTATAATTCTACCAATAATGGATGAGGAAAAATGGAGGAGATTTTTTATTGAGTAACTGTTCCAAGAGTTGTGCCTGGATTCCTTGCTTTTATTATTTTATTAAATGTCTGTGCCTCCTCTGACATAAAGTATCTAGAGAAATTGTAACAAGCAGATGAGTAAAGATCAGAAACCAGAAGTTTTTGTCTCCATGTCATGTTCTGTTTCCCTTTCAGCTTTAGCAGTGTTGAAATTTACCTTTTTTAAAATATCTTTTTTTAGTTGTAGATGGACACAATACATTTATTTATTTATTTGTTTGTTTGTTTGTTTGTTTGTTTGTTTGTTTATTTATTTAATGTGGTGCTGAGGAGCCACAAAACTAGCCCCTGGATTTTACCTTTTGCAGTTGCTTTTTTATTAGAGAGATTCAGCATTTCTCAAGTGATTGTTAACTGTTTACATTATTCTTACTCAACAGTCTATATCCTGTGCATTTATTATTAATAGATTTTAAACTGAACTTTCATACTTTTCTTGTAGACATAGAGGTATTATGTGTCAACTTTATCACAATTTTTTTTTTTTTTTTGCTTTTGTTTGCACCTCTATTCTAGGCTCTCGATGGCAATGTGTATGATCACCTCAAGGATTATTTAATAGCCTTCAGCCGGACTGAGCTAGAAACATGCCAAACTGTGCAGAACACATTCCAGTTTTTGTTAGAGAACTCCAGCAAGGTAAAGTACCTTCACTGCAGTGGGTGGTGTTAACCATTTTAGAATTAAACGTGTTTTTGCTACAAACAAAACAAAGAAACTAATGATACTAGAAGAATGCTTAAAGGCAACTCTCTAGAGACAGCATCCTTCTAACTCATCCACAGGGGAACAGAAACATCCTCCTACTTCAGATTGAATACTACAGTATCTTGGTTTTTGACATATTAAACCTTCTGTATGCTGTCATTCTTCAACACTAGTCTTTTCATTTAAAAATACTGATCTGTCAACTTTGCTCACATGTCCCAATGTGTGTAGAAAAAAATATATGTAATTTCTTTTCTTTAGGTTCTGATAGAGTAAATTTTTTTGTAGTGAAACTATTCTTTTGAAAGATTAATTATTCTTGTGATTAGTAAATGTTATATTCTTCCTAATAAATGAAATACATAGTAAATGTTTCCTGACTGAGTGCATACATTTATAAAAATGTATGCGTTTTGTAGCTGCTGCTTTAAAAGATCCTGTTCAATTCTCTTTTTTTGGCAGGGGAAGTGGGAACTGACTATATCTTTTAGAAACCATTTGTAAAGGGATCAGAGTATCCATCTTTGCATGACAGTGTCCAAAGACAGGAAAGAAAAGGGGCACACACTTTTTATCCTCCTTATGTATATATTCTTTTCAATATCCTAGAGTTTTAATGATCTATTAGATAAACATTAGAAATGCAAAGGTGATAGGGAAATATAAACATTACTACCCTGGTACTTTAAGTCTTGTTATATGTCTATTTTGTATATTCTTAACCCCCAGAATCCAAAACAAACAAAAAAAATACAGAAGGATTCATATGTAAAAAGAAGGATGGATGGATAGATAGATAAAAGTATGTGAAAGAAAATGAAGTAAAATATTAATTGCAGAATTAAAATGGGTATCTAGGTGTTCATTATCTAATTCTTTTTATTTTACTATGTGCATATTTTAAATTTTTCACAAGAAGATGTTGAAAAAAAGTCTGTAAAAGCATCTTGGCCAGGCTGGGGATATAGCTTAGTGGGAAAATGCTTGCCTAGCATGTGTAAAGTTGTGGGGGCCAGGAAAAAAAAAAATACTTTTTGATCTTTTTAGTTGTACATGACAGTAGACTGTATTTTGACATATATACATGGAGTATAACTTCCCATTCTTGTGATGTGGAGTTAACACTGGTCTCATATTCATGTATAGACATAGGGAAGTTATGTCTAATTCATTCTACTGTCTTTCCTATTCTCGTGCCCCCCTCCCTTCCCTTCATTCTCCTTTATCTAATCCAATGAATAGCTATTCTCCCACCCACCCCATTGTGTGTTAGCATCCACATATTAGAACATTCAGCCTTTTGTGTGTGTGTGTGGTTGGCTTATTTCACTTAGTATGATAGTCTCCAGTTCCATCCATTTACTGGAAAATGCCATAATTTCATTCTTCTTTATGACTGAGTAATATTCATTGTGTATATATATGTACCACATTTTCTTTATCCATTCATCTGTTGAAGGCACCTGAGTTGGTTCCATATCTTAGCTAATGTGAATTGAGCTGCTTTAACCATTGATGGGGCCACATCACTATAGTATGCTGATTTTAAGTTCTTTAGGTATATGCAGAGGAGTGGGATAGGTAGGTCAAATGGTTGTTGCACTCCCAAGTTTTCTGAGCAATCCCCATACTGCTTTCCAGAGTGGTTGCACCAATTTGTAGTCTATGAGTATACCGTTTGCCCCACATCCTTGCCAACATTTATTGTTACTTATATTCTTGGTAATTGCCATTCTGACTGGAATGAGATGAAGTCTCAGTGTAGTTTTAATTTGCATTTTCTCTAATTGCTAGAGATGTCGAACATTTTTTGTTTGACATCTCTAACAATTATATTTGTTGATTGATTGTGTTTCTTCTGTGAAGTGTCTGTTCAGTTTCTTAGCCCATTTATTGATTTGTTTATTTGTTTTTGTTTCTTTTTTCTTTTCTTTTCTTTTTTTTTTTGTTAAGTTTTTTGAGTCCTTTATATATCCTGGAGATTAATGCTCTATCTGAGGTGCAGATGGTAAAGATTTTCTCCAATTCTATAGGCTCTCTCTTCACATTCTTTATTGTTTCCTTTGCTGTGAAGAAGCTTTTTGGTTTGACAGCATCCCATTTAGTATTGATTTTATTTTTTGCGCTTTAGGAATCTTGTTGAGGAATTCGGTTCCTAACCCAGCATGATGGAGATTTTTGCCTGTTTTTCCTTCCAGTAGGCACAGGGTCTTGCCTAGGTCTTTGATCCACTTTGAGTTGAGTTTTATGCAGGGTGAGAGGTAGGGGTTTAATTTAATTTTGCTACATATGTATTTCTAGTTTTCCCAGCACCATTTGTTTTTGTTACTATAGGTCTGAGTATAACTTAGGATCTGGTATTGTGATGCCTCCTGCTTCACTATCTTACCAAACTAAGGATTGCTTTGGCTATTCTGGGCCTCTTATTTTTCCAAATGAATTTCATGTCTGCTTTTTCTATTTCTATGCAGAATGTCATTGGAATTGTAATAGGAATTGCATTGAAATGTGATTCTGCAATCTGTATACGGGGTACAAATGGGAGTTCATAACCCACTTGAATCAAATGTATGAAATATGGTATGTCAAGAGCTTTGTAATGTTTTGAACAACCAATAATTTTAAAAAAAGGAATTGCATTAAATCTTATAGCATTTTTGGTATGGCCGTTTTGACAGTATTTATTCTGCCTATCCAAGAACATGGGTGATCTTTCCATTTTCTAAGTCTTAAAGGAAGCATCTTAACTTCATTCCTTCTATGTAGTGCTTAAGTTTATGACCATTTACCAAATCCCTTTTATTCATTGGTCCATTCAGGTTTTCTGCTTCTTTTTCAATACATTTTGGTAACCCTCTTTTTCTAAACAGTTGTCTATTTCAGTTGTTACCAGACTTGATGGCATAAGTTTCTCATACGCTTTTTTGCCTCTGGTTATTTCTCTTTTTATTTCAAATATTGCCTGTGCTTTCTTATTTTGATCTGACATACCAGTCTTTTATTCATCTTTGTCAGAGTCAGCTTTTGTTCTGCTTCCCAATGCTATGTCCCTAAGTTTTACCTTTATCTACATTTTTTTTTTAAGTTTATGTTCTTGTCTTTCTCAAGCTTATTTTCCTATTTAGGACCTATATTTTCAGTCTTTCTATTTTCAAGTTCCAAGTAAACCCATTTAAGGCTAAAAAAATTTCTCCCTCTGTGATATGTAGGGCTTTTATTGTTATTTCTATATTAACCCATGAATTATTTAGAAGTGAATTTTACAGTTTGCATTCAGTGCAACTATATGGTAAGGTGACATTTTTCATTTCTAATTTTATTGGAAAACATTTTTTATTCATAATTTTATTCTATACTTTTAAACTTTTTTGAAATTTCTTTTTCCAAGAAAAAGATAGCTTGGGTACAGTACTGGTAGTTTAGAAAACATGGTTATAACAAGTTGCTAATATTATACACACACCTAATTTCCTAGGATTTTCTTTAGCACATCCACATCTCATACTGTGAAACCTATGTCATTGGTATTTACATGCTCATCTGATGGAGAGGAACACAGACTCAGGTGGTTTATATGACTTGCCCAGGGTCACAAGCACATAGTGCTCTATGTTTTTCTACTGTGTTATACTATGCTATATTATTTCTGTAGTTTGTTACTTTAATTTAAAATATATTAAGAATTTATGAATTAGTTTGGATACATAAAGAGATAAGCTTTCATTTTGTGCCTTCCCTAATGTGAGTGTTTTGTTCCCCAGGGATGAGCAATTAATGAGATGCTCTTACGTTTAGGGTGAAAGTGGTGGGAATAAAATTTTAACAAGAATGATATATCCGGGAGAGGCTCCCTTTTGTTCCAAGTGAGAAAAGCTTACACCTACAAGTTTTATGCCTTGTGCTTTTCTGTTATAAAGAGCTCTTGTCAAACTGCTGAAGGCAACCAGGTGATTTGATAACCCACTGGGAAGTTTGAAAGTCTTTAGGTTTTTTACTGTACATCATTATTACTCTGTCTTCTGAGGTAAAAATCTATTTTTCCAACATGTCTAAAATGTAACATATTCCCAAAGATATTTGGGGGGTAAGTCATACTGACATAACACACTATAATTGTTAAGGTGCTGTCTATATCTTTCATCCTCTAAATGAAAACAGCTGGGTCTAGGAGCTTTTATTAAATTTTAATTATTTATGAAGCTTGCTTTTCTCCTTAATATTTTATGAGATGCTTTGTATGTAACTGAAGCAGATGTTGTCATAGATTATTTTCTCTGGGATCATAACTCTAAAACTAGCTCTACTGGCCCTAATAGTTTATGTGTGATTGTTTTCTGTCTATATAAGGAAACTCCTACTGATGAATAACATAGCTCTTTGAACAAGTCATAAAATAACAATGTTATTCTGTATTTCTTTTGAAAGTTAAATTCTCTAATATTACTAATCTTAATACCTTAAAGATTAACCAAAAAAGTAAATTTAATAAAATAGGGTGAAAATCACTTGATCACTTTAGTAGATACAGAAAAAACGTTTAGCAAAATTCAACCCCCTTTAGTGGGTTGAAAAACTCAGCAAATTAGAAATAGAAGGGAACTTCCACACCTTGATAGTTTTTGTGGAAAACCATATTTAGTATCATACTGAATGATAAAAGACTGAAAGGATTTCCACCCTAAAATCAGGAACAAAATGAGGATGCCTGCTTTCACTCCTGCTATCCACCTTTGTACTAGAAGTCCTAGCTAGAGCAGTTAGGTAAGGAAAAGAAAAAGAAGGATTAAAATGACCTCTGCTTTCAGATGACATGATTATACGTAGAAAACTATAGAATTCATGTAATTACTACTATAGCTAATAAAATAATTGAGCAAAGTTTGATCTTGTGGGTACAGAATCAAACAGAATAACCCATTGTGTTTCTACAC